ATTATGACATTTTTTGTAACCTGAGGCTACAGAGATGTATCTAATACACTTGGATTGCATTCTCTTCCACTCCCTTTACCATCCTCCTCCTCTCTTGCTCCTTTCTCTTCCCTTATGATACCCTCCTAATCTGACAATCAAACATATTAAATGAAAGATGTGACATATGATATTCTGAGGCTCATTCTTTTCACTTGTTTGAAAAGAGTATCTCCCAGTTCCATGCTGTCCTCAAATAATGTCTTTGATCTTGATGTCTTTGTCTGGCTAATTCTCAATTGTGTCTATATTTCTTTTCACATTTGGACAGTGACCAGCATATTGGCTGATTCTGTGATTTGACTCTTGCTAGTAGTTTGGCAATAAACATGCAAATTTGGGTGGGTTGAAATGGGCTTAGATTATTTTATTTTTGGTAGAAAATAAAGATGATATTGGTCAGACCACTCTGTATGAGCTGTGGAGTTGATTGGGAAGTTGCTTAAATCTCATTAGTTCTATTTACATGATTAACAAAATAGGATTAGTCAGTAGAATATTTAAAAATGAAATGATATTTTACATAAAATTGTACATATAATATTTATATATCCCAATATATCCCACTATTGGGCAGTTGGAAATATGCAACATATGTCTCTAGTACTAATGATTCTTCATTCAGGATAGGGTTTTTGTAGTATACATTTATTTTATACTATTTATAAGTGACATTTGAAAGATATTCTCATTGGCCAGGTTACCATGAGTAGAGGAATATTTAGGGTAGACTTAATATATTCTCTTGAGAATAAAGAAGAGTCATTCTTAATAGCCACTCCCAGAATTTTGGTGCCACCTTTATGCCAAGACTTCATGTTGTCAGGATAAATTAGAGGTCAAAGTTTTTGTGGTTGGGTGGTGTCCCAATCCTTCCACTAGAATTTATGTCTGGTTATAAGAGATGGCTGGTTCAGGCTCCATGACCCTCCCCCCCCACTACTAGGATTACTCACTAGGGTTACCCTAATAAATTCATAAAAGTTTCTGTTGCACTTGGCTTCTATCTTTCCCTGGAATTGCTCTCTAGTTACAGTTGTCTCTTCCTGTACTTTCACCCTGCACCCTCCCTCACCTGATTCCTCCAGTTCCAAGCCCCACTACCCCCTACCATGTCTATTACATTTCCCCTTCCCAAGGAGATTCAGGCAACTTCCCTTGAGCATTCCTTTTTTCTTATTCTCCCTGGGTCTGTGGATTGAATTACAATTGTCATTTAATTTACAGGTAATATCAAACTTATAAGTGAGTACATACCATGTTTGTCTTTCTGGGTCTGGATACCTCACTCAGAATGATTTTTCTCTGGTTCCACCCATTTGCCTGCAATTTCATGATGTTTTTTTTTTTTTAACATCTGAGTCATACTTCATTTTCTAAATGTACAATACTCTATCCATTCTTCAGTTGAGGGGGAACTAGGTTATTTCCAGTTTTTGGCTATTATGAATGGAACTGTTATGAACATAGTTGAGCAACTAAGTGTCTTTGTGTAGAATAAAGCATCCTTTGGGCATATACAGCTGGTTCTTGAGGTATACTATTTCCAAATTTCTAAGAAAATGGCATATTGATTTCCAACGTGGCTGTGTAAGCAATGAAGGAATGTGATCCTTATTTTTCTATGCGGTTGCCTCATGCAACCTTAATAATGGGAAAGTGCCTAGTCTTATTGCAATCTGATATGTCATATTTGATTATATCCCTGGGAGGCTTGCCCTTTTCTGAAGAGAAATAGAGGAGGAGTAGATGGTGAAGGAGGAAGGCAAGAGGTACTGGGAGGACAGGATGGAGAAAAATCCACAGTGGGTATAATACATGATAGAATACTTTTACTAAAAAATGAAAAACATATCTATATCCTATCACATTGGTTCAGCACACTTAACCACTATTTTAAGTTCATACTTCGTTTCAAAGGTGCTGTCCATGTGACACTTTTGTTCTTTTGTTGTTGTTTACAATTGGTTAATTTAGATGAAATATTATACTTGTTAAGAAAATAATTGCTTCATTGCTCAGAAAAATAAGGGAAAATATTTTGTTCCCAACATAAAATATGAGTATTTTTTGAAATATCCCTCAAATTATGTAACTATCTTCAATAATAAAAATAACAAAACAGCAAGAAAGAATAAATACCAAAACTCCTGTGACAGATAATCAAATATGATATATCATGTTGCAAGAAAACTAGGTACCTTCCCTCATATTAAGGCCGGATGAAGCAGCCCCATAAATATCTAAAATAGCCCATAAAATACCTAAATATGGTCTTTTCCTAATAATAATAAGACAAGAGACATATATAACAGTTCTCACTAGACAGTAATGTGATAATTGATGGTTTTCTTCATGTAGCATAGACAAAGATCACACTTAGTAGGAAATTCTAGTGGTTGACCTGGTGCAAATTCTAAGTACAAACAATCCATTTAACATGGCAACTTTCACCTTGCTTTTTTTTCTTTCATCATCTAGGGTCATCAACAAAGAAAGAAAGAAGCAAGGTGGATTGATCAGAGACCATTAAGAACTCCTAAATCCCTAAGATAAAAGGGAATCATCCAGCACAAAACAGAAGCATCTTGTGTGGTAGGTTTGCTGAAGATTCCTCTGTGTCTTTGAATTCAAGTTCAGTAAGCAAATGATTTCCGTTTTCCACAAAAAGGAATGATTTCCTTTATCTCAGAGTTTCTTTAATAAAAGAAAAATTGCTGCTTTCCCAAAACAATAAAAATGTCCCTTCTAGTAACATGAAGAATTAGCCTATTCTTTGAGTGTCAAGTTTCAAACAATATCATACTAAGCAAGCCTCCAAACTCTTTCTAATCCAGGCAGCTGTAAGCAAAAAGACTTGCATGTGGCTTCATTTCCATATTGCTACTAAGACAAGCTAGCTCCCCAGCACTGCTTATTTTTTTTCCTTCCTAGCTTAGAATGAAAAAAAAATCAAACAATCTGTTAATGAGCATTTGGTGAAGTGTAATGAATACAGTCTAATTCACTAATTGAGGCTCATTCCACAACTCTCCACTAATAAGCATCTTAATGTGCTTAACTGTAAGTGTCCAAAATAGTTATTGAGATGTGTAGAAATTTCTCATTCTGTATGTGAAAATTTTGATAATGTTGCAGTATGATTAATTGAGAGAAAATGTTTTACTAACAATGAGTAAAATGTAAAAAGCTGGGAAACTGTGCCATTTTTTTTCTTCAAAAATAAATTAATTGGCAAATAAAATACTTTTTAAAAATAACTTTTATGCCATAATAGAACACTAATTTATACTTCTGAGAGATGCCAAAACAGCTGACACTGAGAAGTTTTCTGACTAACTTGCTTAAGGATGTGGCAAATACTCTAATCAATATTTTATTAGTCTTATAAGGCAAAATTATATACTTGGTTTTAATAACTTTTTCCTTTATAATCATTTTAGCTCACTCAAGATAGAAATGAGGTCTTTTTTTATATATCAAAATTCTTATTTCCTTGTCGTTTTTAATCCTCTCATCACACTGTCCTTTCTATGTAGTCTTTATTCCATCAGGAGGAGAAATTCCTCAGAAGGATGCTCTATCTACAAAATCTTTGTATAAAACACTAAGTCTTTCAAATTTATTCTTGAAGAGTAGTGTGACATTCCTTGTAAGGTTTTTAAAAAATATTTTATTTATTTATCTATTTATTTAGCTATCTATGAATCTACTTACCTATCCATCCATACATCCATCGACACACTCATCCATCAATCCATCTATCATCTATCTATCTATCTATCTATCTATCTATCTATCTATCCATCTATTTATCTATTTATATACTTACCTATCTATTCATCCATCTATCCATCCATCCATCCATCCATCCATCCATCCATCCATCCATCCACCTATCCACCCATCTACCCCCTTATGCATCTATCTATCTATCTATCTATCTATCTATCTATCTATCTATCTATCTATCTATCTATCTATCTGAACCTGTTAAGTGCAGAGTACAACTTAGTACAACATACTGGATTTATTTCTCTCATTTTGTCATGTGGGTTCCAGGAATTGGACTACTGAACTCTGCTCCTCCATCTTGGAGCAAGTTCCCTTCCTCACTGAGCTGTTACACAGCCCAGGATATGTCTCTCTCTCTCTCTCTCTCTCTCTCTCTCTCTCTCTCTCTCTCTCTCCCCTTTTAACAAAGATAATTAAGAGGAGCTGGTGCCTTTCATAGGAAAGGAGAGTGATTAAAAGCAAGCACTAGGGGTTGAATATATGGAGTTTTAAAAGTTCAAAGAACAGCTTTGAAAACGTGTGACAGTTTTACTCCTTTTAGTAATTCATTCCAAATGCATGTCAAAAACAGGCAAAGATCTACATTTCTTATCAAGGATGGTCGCTGGGCTTATCTGTGTGATGATCTACATAGTGAGAGTTTACAAGGTTTTCGTGTCAAAAGACTGGTGGGAAGAACAGCTTCAAACACAAAAAGAACTATTCTTGGCCTCTAACTAATTTAGAACTTTCTAGTATATCTTACTTAATGGGTCAAGAAAGCACTTGATCTTGATGGAGTGGGAATATATAAGAACTCAATGACTCTTTGTGTTAGAGGATTAATGCTTGCTGTGTGTGACCATGGTGCTGTCATGGTATTGCTAGATCTGTTTTGTGGGGTTACAGAAATTAGGTTGGAAAATAAAGGGCCTTAGTTTCCATTAAGGTGGAAAACATAGTGTCTAAGCCATGATGAGGAGTAAGATTCTTAATGGGAACTTCTTGTAGGTATGCTCTGGCTGATGGTGGTGTATGATTACATTGTTTCTCTAAGTGTGGAAAAGTAAGAGAGATTAAGGTTTCCCACAGAAGGTCAGAGCACTGGACATTAAATATAAAATTCTCTACATGGAGCAGGCATTATGACTGTTGTCATTTATATTGTTTTTGATTTTATTCAGCAGATGAAAAAGTTTCTTTAAGTATGGAACAAACTGTATTTGAATGCCCCAAAGGAACAGTGAAACACCAAGAGGATGTGTTGCTTTAGAGACCACACTGTAAACCAAACTTTATTTAAAGAATCTTAAGAGTTTAGCCCCAGATCAACTCTGTGAGCATCATCAGTGAATTTTCTAGAAATGCAAAATTTCAGGTTTACCTGCTTAGTTGGGATTATCGAGCTTTCTGGTTGAAGAAGTTTTCAGGTGATATTGAAATGTCCACTCACATCTGAAAGGGATTCTTTTACAGAATCAATTCATGACCTCAGCCTATGACTCTTTGCCTTTAAGATTAAATACTAAAACCTCCAGAAGCCCAGATGCAAGATTAACCAGTATCTTTAAGGAGAGTTCATTCCATCTCAGTTAGAGACTGCTTGGGGAAATCCCATTTTACCAATAAAATATAATCATCTCTAACTTATATAATGACTCCTATAAATCATGGTAATAACCTCAGCAAAAGGTTATCTTGGTAATTTATCTATATCAACCACTCTTCATTATGACCCAGACATTTAGAGATGCAGTCGCAAATGTGACATCATGACAATTTCCAAGAGAGTAATTAACAAGGGAAGGCAGCTGTCCTCTGAGCTGAGGATGAAGAAACAAGTGGCCGTAGTGGAATTTGCTGTACTATGTGCCCTCGAATCTTATAAAACAGAAGAAGATACATAAACAACTTAAGGCATTTCATTCACCTAGCATGACAGGGGTCTACCCATACACACATCTCAAGGTCAAGAGTCTTACAGCAAATTTGTAATGGTGGAAGATATTATTACTCCCTCAAAGCTAGTGTTCAGCCCCAAGTTAACATTATGAACAAGGTTTGATGTGGTAAAATAAAACAAAGCACCTCACTGCCCCTATACCCCCAAATCAAAAAGGAAGAAAGGACAAATGGTGATGTCACAAAATGAACTAAAAACTTCCAGCTGCTTTTTTATATTATTAAGGATGAATTACTCATTTGGGAGCTTATGGGTACTGGGGACTGTGGGCTTTTGAATAACACCACCATAGGGAGGGAGGGGGTACCATTAGGATTTGTAGACTTCTCAAAGTAGGTGTGGCATTATTGGTGTGTGTATTGGTGTGTGTCACTGTGGGTGGTCTTTGAAGTTTTGGAAGCTCAAGTCACACCCAGTGGCTCACTTGCTCTTCTTGATTCAGATGTAGCCTCTCAGCTACTTCTCCATCAGTATATCTGCCTGCATGCTGCCATGCTTCCCATCATGATGATAATTGACTAAACCTCTGGATGGTAAGCCATCCTCAATTAAATGTATTCCATCATAAGAGTTGCAGTGATTGTGGGTCTCATCCAGCAATAAAACTCTGATTAAAACAGGGAGAATCACTTTTTTAGGAGTGTGGTTACCAGTAGGTACCCCATGCCTAAGTGGGTGATTACCTTATCTATGCACATATAGACAGCATTAACTGAATCAGTGGGTTAAGATAAATGAATAAAACCTACATAAAAGAAGATATGAAAGGGGAAGAGGTCAATTTGAATAAAGATACATTGTATAGATGTATGAACTTTTCAAAGAATGAATAAAAATAAAGAGAAGAATTACCAAATCTTTGACAATTGCTGTATCTGGGAGACTAGACTTAGTAATGTTTGTCTAGTTAAGGTGCTCTCCTTATGGGTTTCACAGTTATGGTCTTACTTCCACCTCCTATTCACTGCTACAGTTACAGTCACAGCTTGCATTGCTTATCATTAGGATTTATAACATTAAGTACAGGTTATACAAAAAGACCTGGACCTTTCACATCTGCAAAACATGGCTAGATATTTAAGGGAGATAGTTGTCCCTCAACCAAATTTTGATAAACATAAAAAAGAGAAACATTTAATACTGTAAATATTCCCTAGTAAATATACAAAGAAGTTGACTAACAGCTAGAATAAAAATTGTTATGAATGTATAGAGATAACAAATCAGTTATGTTTTGAATTAAAACCCTGAAAAATATTTTGAAATCATCTGAAAATTGAAAATATTGACACAAATTTGGTGATAGAGCAGGAGATGATTTTGTTAAAATTCCTCTCTGTGGTAAAAAGAAAAAATAAAATCTGTTAATAGAATGAAATCCATCCCCGTTGTGATGCAATAGATTTCTAAAATTGTCCTCCCATCATAAAAATATCCAGCGTTTCTGTGGTAGTGAGCTACACTATAATTTCTCAATTAGTACTACATATTTGTTAATATGCTTTTAAACTAATCAAGCAGCTTGCTAGCTAGCCAGCTAAATAAATAAATAAATAAATAAATAAATAAATAAGATTCAGACACTGAACAGTTTTTATTGTTCTATGTTTGATTTTCCTTTTTAAATTTTTTGATCTCATCACAGAAATTTTCCAGCTTTAAGATCTGGCAGGGGTGCTGATCACTTGTTAATATTAAGAGAAAAAGTGTGTGTGTGTGTGTGTGTGTGTGTGTGTGTGTGTTAGTTTTGGTCAAAATTTGGGAGAGAGAAATTCTCTGTCTTTCCCACCTTCCCCATACCAGTGAAGAATAGGTGAAACATGAGCAAAAACTATCTACTTTGAGATAACAGTACTCACACTCTTTCCGGCTGAAGTTTTTTATCCAGCCCCAGAATGTCTTTGGTTACTTAGGCTACATTGACCATTTTATTAGTACTGTGTTTGTTTGCTTGCTTCTCTCTCTCTCTCTCTCTCTCTCTCTCTCTCTCTCTCTCTCTCT